CTTAGCACCCCCAGTCTCAGCACCCCAAGTCTCAGCACCCCCAAACCCGGCACCCGCACGCTCAGCAGCACTAGAGTTGACAGCTACCTCGACAGGCTCGACTGCATCTACCTAGGACACACCTGACGGGGCAGGACCCTGAGGGGGGAGGGGGTCTACCGGGGGAGGACGTGGCACAAGGAAGAGCGATGGCGGGGGGAGGGGCGCAGTGCGGTAGGGGAAGAGACGGTAGTAAGGCACCGACTCGTCAAAGGTGATGTCCTGGGAGGAGAGAACACGGCGCGAGGTGGGGTGGTAAAACTGCCACCCAGGCGCGTCAGGGGGGAAGCCAAGGAAGACGCAGGGAACAGCACGGGGGGACAGCTTGTCCGCAGACAAGTCGCGCACAAACGCCCGAGATCCCCAGACCCAAAACGCAGACGCATCGCCAACCTTCCCTGTCCACCGAAAGGCGGGGGAGGTCTCTGGCAAGGAGACCCGAGGCTGAAGGTCGAGCTGATGCGCGGCGTCTTGAACCGCAAACGGCCACAGAAAATGGGGGGCAACCGCATGCATCATGGACGTACGAGCGACGTCCATGACCATGCCAATGCGGCGCTCAGCAATCCCATTTTTCTGTGGAGAGGTTGGAAGCGTGAAGGTCTGGCGGATGCCTTGTGCACGACAAAAGGCTCCCAGACGGGCAGAGGAAAACTTTCCGCCTCTGTCCGAGTGCAGACATAGAACACGAAAGTCTGAGCCGAAACTCTCTCTGAGCTAGAGACGACCTGCGCGGATCCAGTCGATCAACACCTCAGTGGCGTCACCCTTGTTGCACAAGGGGAAGACTGTGGTGTAACGCGAGTAGTCCTCAACCACCAGCAGAAAGTACCGCTCGCGCCCCTGCCCACTGACGCGGGTTGGGCCCCACACGTCCATGTGGAAAGTCTGTAGCGGAGCCTCTGTCAGAGGAAACTCGGAGGAGTGAGGGGCGGCGCGCAGTCACCCGTCGACGCAGGGAACGCAGGTAGGGCCAGGCCCTGGAGGTAGGGGAGGGAGAGAACGAGGGAGACCAGAGACAAGGACACGGGAGGCCATGCCTCGTAGACGAGGCAGGGAGGGGTGACCAAGGCGGTGGTGCAAGAGGAGAGTTTGGTGGGACAGTAGACGACACGAGCAGGGAGCAGACTCAGGACCAGACCTGGATGCTGCAGCAAACACCTGACTCGACGCAGCTACCTGGCCAAACTCAGCAGCAGGAGGGGACTTAGTAGTAAGGGTGTACAGGCTCGACCCTGGCCGACGGGTGAACGTGGCCAAATGTTGGCTTGTCCGAGCACACGTGCAGTGGGTCACTTGGTGACTCTTAGGAGTGAACTAGTCAACCCTCTTATCCTGTAGGTCCGCTCCACTCACCAAGTTCGTAGAGAACGACGGGAGGTAGAGACCTGACAGGGTGCAAGAGGGGGCTGCCGGGCACGGTAAGACAGTGGAGAAGTGAGTGTGGACAGGACCCCCAGAGGGGTCCGCCAGGGAGACATCAACCGGCCGACTAAGCGGCGTAAGAGTGGTGCGGTCTCGAAAGAAGGAGCGGGACGCACCCGAGTGAAGGGTGAAGGTGTGGAAGGCCTGAGCCGACGAAGTTCCAGAGAGAGCAGACTCACCAGCACCTGGGGCAGCAGACGCACTAGCACCTAGAGCAGCAGCCTCACCAACACCTAGTGAAGTGGCCACAATGCCAGGGTTAGGCAGTACACACAGGTAACAGTCACCCTCAACACTAGTAGTCACAGAATACATGGCAGCAAGGATAGCATCATAGTCAAGATCAAAGATGGCAACCCCCGCCCTAGACACATCTCCCAAGCGAGGGATCTTTGACGCCTCAGGGAACTGGCAACGCCACGCGTCCGTCAGGCGACCGGAGCAGCGCTGGGTGGAGTGCGGGCCCCCGCACTGCTCACCAGCTCGGTCGCCGGTACGGAGGACGTAAGTGAAGGGACCAAAACCCCCACCGCGCTGACGCGCAGTGTACCACTGACAAAGCTGCTAAGGGTACAGGGTCACACCACTCCGCTGCTAGTGGCGCGAACCACCACCTGAGCCACTCCTCTACGCAGAGTCGCGACCCGCTCCACTATCGCCGCCGCCGCCGCCTCCTCTGCCACCTCCGGCGCCTCCGCTCCGTCCGCCACCACCGCCGCCTCCTCTGCCTCCACTGCTGCCGCCGCCGCCACCCCCGGCACCATCCCCATCACCACCCCCACTCCCTCCACTGCCTCCACCACCACCTCCACCGCCCCCGCTAGCCCCTCCAGCGCCCTTGCCCCCCTTGCCCTTGCCGGTGCGGCGTCTCCCGCTCGGGGCAGACGCGGCGCTTTGACTCGAAACCAACGAGGTCGGCCGCAGCAGCAGAGGCAACAGAGGGCAAGAGGGGGCAGGGAGAACACCCCTCAAAGACGGGGGTGCGAGGGTCACCACGAGAGGCTCCTACAGCGACTATGCTATTCTCTGGTGCTAGGAGGGCCTTCTCGAGGAGGTCAACGGTGAGAGTGGTGGGGCAAACTGAGAGGAAGTGGTCCCGGACTACGCGGAGAGAGTCAGGGAGCCGGGTGACTATGTAGTAGAGAGTGATGTACATGGGGGGGGGGGGGGTCTTGGCGCAGAACTCAGGAGGAAGCGCAGCGCGGTAGCGAATATCACTAGTGCGGAGGTGCGTAATGAGGTCAGCGACTGTGGGAAAGGCTGCAAGGTCAGGGAAGAGGTACGGTAGCATGAGGCGGCTCAGTGCAGCAGTGGCAGGGGAAGAGTAGCGTGCAACTACAACGTCGTACAAGGTGTGAGCAGTCTTGTACTGGCTAAAGTGTGCACGCTCAGTGGTCGGTAAGTGGCGGCGCACAAGAAGGCGAGCAGCAGCATCGCGCGTGGCCCACTGTGAGCGAATAGTGGCGTCAGCATCAGCAGCAGGGGCAGGAGATGCACCAGAAGTGAGGTCAAACAAGGAGAGACCGTCTGCCCTATTGCACTGTAGGAAAAGCTGCAGATCATCTACCCAAACCTCAAAGTCAACTGCCCGACCCTCAGCGTCAAAGATGAGAACACTAGGGGTGGCCATGACATTAGTAGACAGGCAGTGAGTATAGTGGGGCAGGGCAGTGCAATGGCAGAGGCGCTGCTCTTACCAGGCAAGTAAGGCGGTGCCGGGTAGGCCGACAGGCGGCGGCGCCTCGGCTGCAATGCGGCTCGGCGGCAAAGGCGGCTTGGCGGCTCGGCAGCACAGGCGGCTCGGCGGCTCAGCGGCTCGGTGGCTTGGCGGTGCAGCGGCTCGGCAGGTCGGCGGCTCGGCAGCGAAGGCGGCTCGGCGGGGCCGTGAAGGGCAGCGTCGTTGCCGCTAAGGAGCGGCGACGGGGCCGCTGAAGGGCGGTGACGAGGCTGCTGAAGGGCGGCGATGGGGCCGGTGAAGGGCGGCGATGGGGCTGCTGAAAGGGCGGCGACAGGGCCGCGGAAGGGCGGGGACGGGGCCGCTGAAAGGGCGGCGACGGGGCCGCGAAAGGGCGGCGACGGGGCCGCTGAAAGAGCGCCGACGGGGCCGCGGAAGGGGGGGGGGCGGCGACGGGGCCGCTGAAAGGGCGGCGACGGGGCCGCGGAAGGGCGGCGACGGGGCCGCTGAAGGGTGGCGACGGGGCTGCAGTAAGGGGCGGCGACGGGGCCGCGGAAAGGGGTGGCGACGGGGCCGCCTAAGGGCGGCGACGGGGCCGCAGGAAGGGGTGGCGACGGGGCTGCTGAAAGGGCGGCGACAGGGCCGCTGAGAAGGCAGCGACGGGGCCATTGAAAAGGGTGGCAGGTGGGGACGGGGCCGCGAGTGGTCGCTAAGGGGCCGCGAGGGGCCACGAGGGGCCCCTAGGGTGGTGCGACGGGGCCGCTAGGGCGGCGCGACGGGGTCGTGAGGACGGCGCGACGGGGTCACTAGGGGCCGTAAGAGGGGCCGCTAGAGGCCACGATGGGGAACGACACGGGGCGCGACTCGGGCAGGGGCCAAGCACGCTTTATTGAATCATGCGTACTCTTTATATAACAACAGGTAGTCGTGCATAAATTGTCTTCATTTCGACACGTGTCAGAACATGGTGCATTAGGATCTGTCAATTTTGTCTAGCGCGAGCCGGAAAAACCCGAATCAGGGTCATTTCGGGCGAGGGTGTTTTCTAATTACCATTCGCGTGATCGTTAGCCAATATCTTCTTACAAAACGTGTTACGCTAGTTACCAAATGCATGAAAATACATTGTAATGGTTCACGTTATTGAGCCCCGTTTGTGTTACAATTAGCATACTTTCCAAGTGTCCCACGATCGCCAAAACCCGTGAAAGCTGGAGAGACACGCGACAAGATCTAAGCATGTTGAACTGCGACTGACGAGCTAATAGTCTGGCGATTTAGTCAGGATTTCGTGTCCAGTAGTGCTAGCTCCACCCGAGTACTCTAGTAGGAAACAGTTATATTTTAGTATAATATAATATTCAATTTCGCACGAAAACGAAGCTAGCTGAATCATTAGCTTCGCTCGACCGCGACGTTAGCTAAGATTCGGCAAGGGCGGGAGGAGAGGCGGCGGTAGAGGAGATGCGACGGGAATGGGAGGAGCTGCAACGGGGAGGGGAGGAGATGGGACGAGGGCGATAGGAGGGGCGACGAGGGCGGGAAGAGGTGGGACGAGCGCGATACGAGGGACGACGAGGGTGGGAAGTGGTGCGACTTCACTTGCGAGGGGTTGAGTTCTGGAAGAATCGATTAACGCAAGCGATATTTCCTCACTTCGTTGGTTCTCGCGTCAGTCTTCGACACTCCTTGAAGTCGCGGTCCAATCAGGGCACTCCTCCGTATCAGCAGCAGGACAACGGATTCGCGCGATTGTAGCACCCGCGATAGTACCTTCCGCCATAGTGGGAGCAGCGGTGATATTAGCCCAGAAAAGTTACATTTTTTGTTAATAAAAGAGTATCTCCCGCAACTTTCAGACATGCTGGATGCGACGAGCGTTGATTTAGGGTTAGATTCGCTGAATGCGCCGGCTGCAGCCACGGCGCGAGTCCAACCGCCGAATCCCTTTTCCGTGCTCAAGTGCTTCTTCCTCATGGGGTACGTACGACACTCTCGAGGTACGTACGACACTCTTGAGGTACGTACGACACTCTTGAGGTACGTTCGACACTCTTGAGGTACGTTCGACACTCTTGAGGTACGTACGACACTCTTCAGGTAGGTATGGCACTCTTGAGGTACGTACGACACTCTTGAGGTACGTACGACACTCTTGAGGTACGTACGACACTCTTGAGGTACGTACGACACTCTTGAGGTACGTACGACACTCTTGAGGTACGTACGACACTCTTGAGGTGCCCCCAAGCCGTGCAATTCCAACAGCCGCATCCCCTCTCCGTGCTACGACGCTTGTTGCGTGGGACTTCCGAGGCGCCACAGAAGTGATTTATGTTCCAAATTCAATAAGAAAATATCCTCGTTCTACTACTGTGCTCAAGTCCCTTTTTATCATGGAGTACGACGTTCGTTTAGAGACGCTCAGAAGCTGAGATGGATGCGTCTTGAGACGTCTAAAATCCCAACTTTTCTTGACGTCTCAAATCTCAGAAGTCAAACAAGTTGACTCAGCGGGCTGCAAGTCTTTTGGGTCGGCTTAAAATTCTAGTCATTGCACGTGGTTTTTTCAGCCTCCCAACCCGTTTCCCTTCGTTACCATTTCAGAGACAAAGTACTAATCTATTCATGTTTCTCGTCTCCCGTTTCTCCCATTTGGCCGGCCCCGGCCCCTCTCGCGTGCAGCTTCTACAACTTCGGTGGCACCAAGGGCCACGTAGAGATGATGCGCAAAGAGTTTGTGGATCGGCGAGGCTGGCTCGACGACTCCCAGTTCACGGAGGTGTACCGATATGCCAATGTAAGGTGTACCGATATGCCAATGTAAGGTGTACCGATATGCCAATGTAAGGTGTAGCGATATGACAACGTAAGTGTACCGATATGCCAATGTAAGGTGTATCGATATGCCAATGTAAGGTGTGCCGATATGCCAATGTAAGGTGTACCGATATGCCAATGTAATGTACCGATATGCCAATGTAATGTATTGATATGCCAATGTAATGTAGTGTGCTCCTGGTCTGTCAATGTAATGTGCTGCTACTGTGTCAATGTAATGTTTACCTGATATGCCAATGTAATGTGCTTTTTGCCTTGCCAATGTAATGTCCTCGTGGTGCACGTGTGTGCGTGCACGTGTGTGTGCGTATGTGAGTGTGTATGTGTGTGCGCGCGCGCACGCCTGCAGTCCATTCCGGGCTCAACGGGGATGGAGATGGTGTGGATGGTCTGGATTGTGTGGCTGCTCTCTGTACCTTCCACAACCAAACCCAACCGAATCCCGTCTCTCCCCACCCCCTCTTTGTTCTGCACCGACTCGCCTTTCCGCCTTCCTGCCTGCAGGCCATTCCGGGCCCAACGGGGATGCAGATGGTGGCGACACTTGGCACGCTGTGGCTGGGCACGTACCTGGGGGGCATCCTAATGCTTTTCTTCTACATGCTGCCGGGATGCCTTTCCGTCTACTTTGTGGTGAGTGAGGCCACTTCTGCTGGGGTTAGCATGTGTGTGTTTAGGGACCTCTCAAGGCACATACCTGGGGGGCATCCTGATGCTCTTTTTCTACATGCTGCCGGGATGCCTTTCCGTCTTATTTGTGGTGAGCCCACTTGTTTGCTCTCCTTAGGACGTGTGCTGGGGGGTTGAGACGTGTGTTTAGGGACATCTCAAGTCACGTACGTGCTGGGCATCCTCAGGCCCTTCATTCATCTTCACGCTGACTGGTTGCCTGTCCGTCTACTTGGTGGTGAGATGAATGGAAAGTGCCTTTTCTCCTCTCTGTTCCACCACCCCCTTCTATCCCTCCAAAGACAGGGCTGTTACCTGCTTGCTATTGTATTTTGAATCGTCAAAAGACACACCTGAACATTGTCCCACCGCCTTCCACCACACTCCACTGCCCTCCACCCGTCTCTCCAATCTAGGTTCGTGGAAACAGTGAAGCAGAGCGGATATTTCTCCTTCAACATTCATCCTTTGACTTAATTCCACTCCATCATCCCTCCACCACACTCCACCACCCTCCACCAGACCATCCTCCACCCGTCTCTCCAGTCGAGGTTTGTGGAGCCGGTGGGGCAGTACAACTACTTCTCCTTCAACACGCAGTGGTCCATCACCCTCCCACCACACTCCACTCCTCCCCACCTCTCTCCACCACACTGCGCTCCACCGCACTCCACCCCTTTGCATCCCTGTTGCCTCCAGTCGAGGTTCGTGGAGGGGGTGGGACAGAACGATTTCTTCTCGTTCAACACGCAGTGGTTCACGGAGTTTGGCCCGCAGATCCCCTCCGATGAGAAAGCCTCCACCTTCTCGCAGGCTGTCGTGGGCGCTGTTGCTGCTGCTCCTGCCTACGCCCTCCTCTACTCCTTCACCCATGCGCAGAACGTGAGTATCCAACGCCTTTTCTCACGCCCCTTTATACCCACTCCTTCTCGCCCCTTAGAACACACTGCATCACGCCCCTCAGAATCACTCTCCATCACGCCCCTTGGGTGATAATATACATCTGCATTGTGACGAGCCGAGCAAGACGCGCCTCATCCCAGGACAAATTCGTGCGCGCCACGTTGGACAAGTTTTGTAAGAGCTCGGCAGCTCGTTTCCACCACGGACAGACAGAGCCCTCATCATCGTAATCGCTTCCATGCTCTCTTGCGTTCCCCTCCTTGCCCACTTACCCTTCTCTTTGCCCTGAATCCTGAACCCTGTCCCCCCTCCCTCCCCCACACAGCTCGCCAGCACCACGCACAGGGCGCTCATCGCCATATCCACCTCCATCTTCTTCCTCCCCTCTACCCACTCTCTCGTATTCCCCCCCTTGCCCCTCTGCCCCTTCTATAACCCCTTCATCCTGCTCCCCTCCCTCCCCTTCCCCCCTCCCTCCTCCTTCCCCCCTCTTTCACAGCTGGCCACCACCACGGACAGGGCCCTCGTCGCCCTCTCTCCCCCGCCTCCCCTAACCCCCCTCTCTCGCCTTCCCCTCTGCCCCCCGTCCCTTCTCCCTCCCTTCTTTCACAGCTGGCCAGCACCACGGACAGAACGCTCATTGCCATGGTGGCGGCCATCGTCTTCCTCCCCTCTACCCACTCTCTCGTCTCGTCTTCCTCCCCTCTACCCACTCTCCCGTATTCTCCCCCTTGCCCTCTGCCCTTAAACCCCCTCAACCCACCCACGCCCCCCTCTTTTACAGATCGCCACAACCACGGACAGGGCGCTCATCGCCATAGTGGCCTCCATCTGCTTCCTGCTCGCCCCGCACCGCCTCTCCCACCTCCTCGTGCCGCTCGCCCTCCTCCTCGCCGCCCTCTTCCGCTACCTCGCCCCCTTTGACCGCCTCTTCTCCCCTCCCCCCTCCTCCTCCTCCTCCTCCTCCTCTTCCTCCTCCCACTACGCACACTCCTACTTCCCTTGGTCTGCAGCCAGGCCTTCCCAACCCCCCTCCTCCTCCGCCTCCTCTTTCTCCTCCTCCTTCTCCTCCTCCTCCTCTGCTGCCTCTGGCGTCCCCCTAACCTCCCAAGTGACAGACATTTTCTTCCGCCCGCTGCTCAGCCGGAGAAACACCGCTGCAAACACTCAGCTAAGCGCCAGCAGTACCAGTGCTGAGTGGGCTCCACTCACAGGCAGAGGGGGGGGCGGACGGGGGGGAAACGGCTTGGCGGGAGTAGCTGGGGCGGGATCCCCGGCGTTCAGTGAGGGGGACGAAGGGGACGAGGAGGAGAGTAAGAAGCTGCTGGGGAAGGGCTTGGCGGTTGGGGGGGTGGCGGGAGGGTTGGGGGAGGGTGGGGGGGCGGGGATTGCGTTGGGGAACTCGCTGGTGGTGCTGAGAGCCAAGGTGCACTCGCTGCCGTGGTCTGCTGTGCTGCTGTTTGGATGGGTCGTCACGAACCTGGCCTTCCTCTACTGCCGCACTCACGACGGGCGCGACCTGGGATGTGAGTAGAGTGGTGGTATGAAGGATGTGAATTGAGGCCCCTTGGGATGGGAGGAAGAGGAGTTGGATGTCGGGCGGGCAGTAGGACGGATGTGAGCGCAGGAGGGCTTGGATGAGATGAGAGATGAGTTTGGTTGGGTCGTCACTGACTTCTCCTTTCCCTTCTGCCGGACACACGATGGGCGAGAGCTGGGATGGGAGTAGAGTGGTGGCAGGAGGGATGGGTGTTGAGACTGGGTGGTAGTTGTGACAGCTCATGATTGCCCCACCCGATTGCTGCCTTCTGCACATGCCTTCTGCACATACCTTCTGCACATGGCTGTGCTTCTATCCTCCCTCCTTCCTCCATCTGCCCTCCGTAATCTTCTATCTCCCCTCCCTCCTCTCGCCCCTCTCCGTTCCCTCTCCTCCGCCTCCTCCTCTCCCTCTCCACTCAGGCTTGGTTCGCCCAGAGCTGATCTGCCGCTCCGTGTCGTGCCGCTGGGCTTTGGGTTGGATTCATTCCCTCTTCTCCCTTCTCTCCTGCCCCTCTCGTCCCTCTCGTCTCTCGCCCTCTCGTCTCTCTCCCTCTCTCTCCTCTCCCCCTCTCTCTCCTCTCTCTCCCTCTCTCTCTCTCTCTCTCTCTCTCTCTCTCTCTCTCTCTCTCTCTCTCTCTCTCTCTCTCTCTCTCTCTCTCCTCTCCCCCATGGCAGGGCTCGTGCTCACAGAGATGATCTGCCGCTCCGTGTCGCTGGGCTTTGGGGGCGACTTCTTCCCTTTCGCCATCATGAATATGGAGGTGTGTGGATGGATATGGAGGTGTGTGGTGGGATATGGAGGTGTGTGGATGGACATGGAGGTGTGTGGTGGGATATGGAGGTGTGTGGATGGATATGGAGGTGGATAGATAGATATGGAGGTGGATAGATGGATATGGAGGTTTGCAGATGAGTACGGAGGTGTGCAGACAAGCTTCAAACCCGGTTCCTCCCGCTCCCCTGTCCCCTCCCCTCCCCCTGCCCTTGCCCCCCACTTCCCCACCCACCAGTATCTCCCTTTTCCCCCACTTCCCCACCCACCAGTATCTCCCTTTTCCCCCACTTCCCCACCCACCAGTATCTCCCTTTTCCCCCACTTCCCCACCCACCAGTATCTCCCTTTTCCCCCACTTCCCCACCCACCAGTATCTCCCTTTTCCCCCACTTCCCCACCCACCAGTATTAGCAGCAGAATGGCATCCTAATATCACCAACTGTCAACTTCACGGCACCCAGTCACCCCCACCCCCCTTCCCTTCACCATTCCTCTCCACTCCCCACATTCCTCCCGTCCCTCCACCTGCACTCTTGCAGTATCTGCAGGAGAACGGCATCCTAAGGCCACCCATTGTCAACATCGTCGCCCTCACAGCCGTCAGTCGCCCCTTCCCCTTCCCCCTCCCCCCTCCCTCCCCCTTCCCCCTCCCTCCCCCTTCCCCCTCCCTCCCCCTCCCCCCTCCCTCCCCCTTCCCCCTCCCTCCCCCTCCCTCCCCCCTCCCCCTCCTTCCCCCCTCCCCCTCCCTCCCCACTCCCCTTCCCTCCCCCTTACCCTCCCCCCCACCTACCCTTCCCTCCCCCTTCCCTTTCTCCCTCCCCTCCCTTCTCTCCCTTCTGCCCACTCTCCGTGCTTGCATCCCCTCTTTCCCGCCTCGCCTTCGTGCTTGCTGACCCTTACCATTTTTCCTCCCTCACACGCATTCCCTGGACATCGATCATCCAAGCTACCCCACCACCCATCTGTCCTTTCAGGCATCACATCACCCCACCACTTCCTCTCCCCGCTTCCCTCCCTGCCCTCTCCCTGCCATTTCATCCCTCTCCCTGCTCTCTCTGCCATGTCATCCCTCTCCCTGCTCTCTCCCTGCTCTCTCCCTGCTCTCTCCCTGCTCTCTCCCTGCTCTCTCCCTGCTCTCTCCCTGCCATATCCCCGGCCTCTCCTGCCATTTCGCGCCGCCCCTCGATCGCCTTGCCTATTGCCTGGATCACTTTTCACCACCCGACCATCGTGCTTTCCGTTCCGTTCACTAACACTACTCGTGAGAAACCTCAAAACTCACCCGGTTTCCTGCTCTTGCTCCGCCCCCCAATGTGCTGCCTGTCTTCCCGTGTGGTGAGGGCCCATCAGACCATCATGCTGCCCGGCCATTACTACTCTGCCGTCACCTTTATCGCCATCTACAGCATTGGTAAGCGGTCCTTTCCCAAGCAGAAAACATTCATGTGGCTTCTCATGAACAACAACAATTTATCAGTCGAATTAAAGCTCGCCTCATGAGCAAGAATGTACGTGGCTTCTCATGAGGCGATTCACGATGCACCGGCAGAAGCTGCCCAGCCACTGCTACCCTGATGTTGCCGTAATAGCCATCTACAGCATCGATACGCTGAGACTCGAGATGGTGAGAAGAGTTGTAACCTGTGATGATAAGCAGTTGTAACTCGCGATGCATACCACGTAACTCACGTTTTCTGAGGCACCTCAAAAGTAGCTCCGCTTGGTGATTCTGATGCTGAAAAACGAACAAGCTTTACACGAGGGATTCTAAAAATAAATCATGATGCACCGACCAGTATTACCCTGTCGTCACCTTCACCACCATCCACAGAACCGGGAAGCGGTGGTAAGCAGTGGGTAGTGGTCCTTTGTAACAGATAATATCTTCTCGTGTTTTCCACATTAGCACTTGTCTGGAGCTTCTCCTCCCACAATCCCCCTCTCATCTCATCCCACGAAAGTTAATTGTTTTGAAACGTCTCAAAATAGTTTTGCTCAACTTAGCAAGCTACAACCAATGTTACAAGCAGGGCCCGATTTTTTTTCGTGTTTTCCACATAATCGCATGTCTTGTGCCTCCCGTCCCCTCCCACAACCCCCCTCTCATCCCACGGCCAGGCGTGAAGGGCGTGGTGGTGGGGCTAATGGCAGTGGCTGTACCAACCTTCCTCTCCGCCTTCTCCCTCCTCCCTCTTTGGGACTCCTTACAACGCGACCAGGTATGCCCCTTCCCCTATTGCTGCTTACAGCTCTCACGAGCTACACACCATTGCTTCCTCCCTAAACTCTCTCTGGAACTCCTTACAACGCGACCTGCTATGTGCCATTCAACCCGTGCTTACAGCTTTCAGCTGCCACATACCTTAGCTGCTTAGCAGCTTAGCTTCCCGCCTTCCTCCCTCTCTGGAATCCTTACAACACGACCAAGTATGGCTCACCCAGCCCTTGCTACTAGGTATCACAGCCTTTCCCATGCCAGGTACCCTTGCCGTCTCCCTGCCCCACAGGACCTTTGAGCGAAGTTCTAGACACTCTCAAATGTTTGTCACGCTTTATAAAGTATGCCCTTGCAGTCTCTCTTCAACCCCACACCGCAGGGCCTAGGGGCGGCAGTGGCTGGAGCTGGGCTAGCTAGCTGGAACTGGAGTGGAGATGACTGCTTTGAAGACTCTGTGACAAGGCTGTTGGCACTTTATGCCGTATTCCCGTGCCGTCTCCCGTCAACACCACAGGGCCTGGGGGTGGCAATGGCTGCAGCTGGGCTAGCTAGCTGGAGATGGAGTGGAGATGACTGCTTTGGAGACTCTTTGACAAGGTTGTTGCACTTTATGATGTCTGCCCATGCCATCTCCCGTCAACACCACAGGGACTAGGTGCGGCAGTAGCTGGTGCTGGGCTAGCAGGTGCTGGAGTGGAGATCGCTGTTCTACTGCACCTGCTGCTGCAAGTGGTGGGTGAAATTGTCAAAAAAAAAAGGAAATTTGAGAATGAAGTATTGGTTGAGGTAGTAATGAAGCCAGTAAAGATGCATGAGTTGCAGGAGGTACTTCAATTGTTTTTGCTTTCCTGCAAATACAGACCTTTGATATTTGCTTTTCTGCTTCTGTTGTGGCGCTTTGGCTGCAGGCAACAACAACAGGGCCGCTAGCTGTGGGCATTCTCACGGCATCATTGGTTGCAGCTTTCCAGGTGAGTGTGCTCGTTGGGTGGGTATTGTGAGAATATTCGTATGTGTTTTGAGTCGACGCAACACATGTCTGGTAACCAACACTGGTAATCACCACTGGTAACCGCCACTGATAGGCGACAATAGTAACCACAGCAGGGTGCTAGCTGCTGCCAGCACAGCATCACTGTTTGCAGCACTCCCGGTGACTGCTGTTTACAGGTTATGTGCTTCTTCTTACATACTGGCTAGGTGCTCTTTATGTGCTGGTTACGTGGTTGATAATGGTTGCTTTTGGCTACGTTGCTGTCGAGGACCGTGGGGTGGAGGGTAACAGTAACATCTTGCCTCTGTGGTCGCTTGGTCGCTGATACCCCCTCTCTACACTCTCCTGCAAACGCCATTACCAATAGCCGTGACGGCATCCTGAGTCGACTCAAACGTTACCTTATGTGCTCAGCCCACCGATCTTCCCGTGCCACAATGCCTTGCCACAATGCCGTGCCAAAATGCCGTGCAGACTCCAGCGCCAATAGCTGTGGCAACAGGGTCAGCATTCGGGCTTATTCTCTATCTGGTGGGTGCTTCTCCTCACCCCATCGTGCTTCTCCTCACCCCATCGTGCTTCTCCTCACCCCATCGTGCTTCTCCTCACCCCATCGTGCTTCTCCTCACCCCATCGTGCTTCTCCTCACCCCATCGTGCTTCTCCTCACCCCATCGTGCTGTTCTTAGTTTCGATTTGTCCACCTTTTCAGTACAAGCATTCATTCACGTCTCGAGTCACCTAAAATTTTTCAGGGTTGCTGCCCAGCATCGGCCTGTTTTTCTCAATGCTCGTTTACACCACGTCGTAGACTCTCACTGGAGCATGGCAAATCAAGAGTGGCAATGGGCGTTTGTTTGATTTGCAAATGCAGTGTGAGATTTGGATCATGAAACTCCGTCCATGCCAATCAACCCCCGGCAGCTGCTACAATCTGGCACAAGTCAATTACCACCTCGCTTTTCTGCCAGTTTGCTCAAACTTTCAATGCCTGGTGTGTGAGGCGTGTGGTTGTGTTTCCCTTGCTTAATGTGTGTGTGTGGTAAGGATGATGTTGCTCTGTTTTCTGTGTGCATAAGTGTGCATGTGTGTGCGTGTGTGTGTGCGTGTGTGTGCGTGTTTGTGCATGTGTTTGCATGTGTGTGCGCGTGTGTGCGTGTGTGTGCGTGTTTGTGCATGTGTGTGCACGTGTGTGCATGTGTGTGCATGTGTGTGCACGTGTGTGCATGTGTGTGCACGTGTGTGCATGTGTGTGCATGTGTGTGCACGTGCGTGCATGTGTGTGCATGTGTGTGCATGTGTGTGCATGTGTGTGCATGTGTGTGCATGTGTGTGCATGTATGTGCACGTGTGTGCATGTGTGTGCATGTGTGTGCATGTGTGTGCATGTGTGTGCATGTGTGTGCATGTGTGTGCATGTGTGTGCATGTGTGTGCATGTATGTGCACGTGTGTGCATGTGTGTCTCTGCCTGTGACATGTCACTGAGCAGTTCAACATCGGTGGTCCGTACTGCTGGGTGCCAGCATACATGCGCCTCAACCCTGAAATGGTCAAGCCATGCCTGCTCCTGCACAACCTCAATACGCTCTTGTTCACGCGCTATTGAAGCTGTCCCCCATTGTTTACCCTCAGAAATTCCTAGGAACTCAGCATAAGGCCGCTACACTAGTTGAATCAGAGTTGTCACACAATTCTTGGCTGAAAATCAGCTATAAACAGCCCAAATCCCCAATTTTACACTAGAAAGTTTCTAGATTCGCTTGAAAAGGTAGTCTGAAAAATCAGCCCTGGGTCACAAAAAGCTCTGAAAAAGAGTTGAATCAGCGCAAAAAGGGTGCAGCACGGGGAGTGTTATGATTTCTTTTCCAGTATGTTGGTTGGCTTCGTGGAGTGGTTGGGAGTTATGTGTTACATAGGTGCGTCCTTGTGTCAAATGTTTTAGCCTCTAGTGGGTTATGCTATTTGGGGTACAAACAGTTAGGGTTAGGTATTTGTACCCCAACCCAATCAATCCAACAATTCCACTGTTTTTCAGTTACTGAGATGGTATCAGCAGTAGGTTCGCCGTTCCTAGGCCACACCTAGTCTTTGCCGTTCCTAGACTTCGGCCGTCACTAGCCTTGGCGTGCCCCTCCCCCCCCCCCCCCCCCCCCCGTCTGCCCTAAGCGCGCTAGCCAGCAGGCCGCCAGCGCCCTAGCCAGCAGGCCCGCCAGCGCCCTAACCATCAGGCCCGCCAGCGCCCTAGCCATCAGGCCCGCCAGCGCCCTAGCCATCAGGCCCGCCAGCGCCCTAGCCAGCAGGCCCGCTTGCGCGCATGCCAGCGCGCACGCCAGCGCCCACGCCAGCGCGCCCTGCCAACGCGCACGCCAGCGCGCCCCGCCAGCGCGCCTGCCAGCGCGTCACGCTAGTGCGCCACACCGGCGCGCATGCCAGCGCGCCACGCCAGCGCACCGTGCCGCCCGCCCGCCAGCCAGCGCGCCGCGCCGCTCGCCAGCCAGCGCGCCGCGCCGCACGCCAGCCAGCGCGCCGCGCCGCCCGCCTGTCCGCATGCCGCGCCGCCTGCCCACCTACATGCCTGCGCGCTTGCCAACACGCCACTGACTGTCTCACCCTCCCGCGGCTGGCAGCCGCGCTCTCTCACTTTCCCCCCCTATGGTGACCTCCCGAGTACTTCGCTTTGACCCTGAGGGGAGACCGAGTGACTTTAGTACGTGGCTTACATAGGCACAGTGCCACCTTAAGAGCCAGCGGCAGGATGGCGTGCACCTGTTCGCACACGCGTCCGGCCCCTCAGCAGCCTAACCCGCTGCCCACTACCCCACCGCCTACTCCTGAGCAGGAGGCAGAGTACCAGCACCAGTTCCTCGCTTGCGACGTGTGGGAGTCTCGAGACGCCGCTGCCTGCCTCGCCCTGACCGACCTTCTCCCGCTGACGGAGGCAGTCCATTTCACCCAGGTCGAGTCTGCTGCAGATCTGTATAAGGCTATTGTTGCTCGCTACTCCACTCCCTCCTCTGCTTCACTCAGTCGCCTCTTCGTACCCTTTATCTACCCTGACCTCGCCTCCTTTAAGACTGTTTCCGACCTCGTTACCCACCTTCGCTCCCTTGACGCTCGCTTTCGCGCTGCTTGCCTGAGGACCAGCTTGCCCTTGCCCCGCCCCCTATGTGGCTCACTGTTCACTGGCTAGTCACTCACCTCCCTGACCACCTAGCTACAGCCCGCGACGCGCTTCTTCTGAAGCACCCCACTGAGCTTACCATCGATCTTCTTGAGACTGCTCTCTCGAAGATCGAGAGTAACCTCCTCACTGTTGCTTCTGCCTCTTCCGCGCCTCCTCCTCGTCTCTTTGAGGGGTGTGCGGTACCACAGCTTCCCACATTCACTGCCTCACTTGCCACCCCCACGTCTTCTGCCTCTGAGGAGACGGCGGCTGCTTCTGTCTCTGGCGGACAGAAACGTGGCAAGGCCGGTAGGAAGGGCGTGAGGGGCGGTGGGGGTACTGGAGGTGGTGCGGGTAGTGGCGGTGGCGGTGGAGCAGGTGGTGGGAGTGGTGGTGGGGGTGGCTCGAGACCTGACGGCCCACCTCTCGACGGTGGAGTTTTCATTGGTGGTGAGGGGTTCCAGCAGTAGCAGCAGCCGGCTTCTCAGCAGCTGCCACCGCCTGGAGAGCAGCAGCGGCAGGGACAGTAGCAGCAGAGACAGGGCCAGCAGCAGCGCCCGCCACAGCAGCAGCCTCAGCACTGGGGCCCTCCGCAGCAGTGGAGGTCTGCGGGTCCCCCGAGCACTGGGCGGAGTGGCGCCCCCTTCAGTCGGGGACCTCGCTCGGCCGGCTGCGACGTTGGTCCCCGTGAGTACTGGATCCTTACGGGTCCACGTAGGGACTCGTACTGTGGCCGCCCTGACCACTCTGCTGCACACTGCTTCAGTCGTCTCGACGACCTTTACCTCTTGCACCACGGCCCCTCCGCTCCCCCGCCGCCACGCTGGGGGACACTCCTTGCTCGTGGTATCTCTGTTTTTATATGAATATGGATGATGCTAGGTCTTATGCTATGTATACTGATGTTAACTATAGTGCTCCATATCCGTGTACTTGCCTGTACCTAGCGTAGGATCTTTGCCTGTTGCTAGAGTAGGTGCTAGTGTAGGATCTTGTTTAGCTACTAGTACAGGTCCTCCCTCCGTGGACGTGTCTCTCTCCTTCACACTGGACTTAGGAGAGACGGAGTGCTTCTTCCGAACGCACGACTCTCACTCCACTCCCAGTGCCGGTCTCTATAGCACTGGCCGATCCCTCTTCGGGACCGGTCATTGCGACTCACGCCACTACACTCCCGTGCCCAGCTCCCCCTTCCGGTTCCCTGACTGGCCTCCACGTTCCTACGTTCTTTAGGAACCTGGTTGGTGTGGCCCCCTTGGCGAGACAACACGTCGGGATCTGGGTTGAGCCTTTTGGTGACACCGCCGTCTGTGTGGACGGTGACACGTACGCCCCCTTGGCCACTTTTCGCCAGGAGCCGGGCTCCGGTTTGTACACCCTCCACACCGACCCCCGTCAGGTTCCTCCGTCCCATCAGGAAGCCAGGTCCAGTCAGGTTGCTGTGTCCGGTCTAGTTGCTGCGTCGTGCTCGTGTCGGTCGCTTGCCCACCCCTCCCTCCTCTGGCACCACCGCCTTGGTCACCCGTCCCTCCCTCGTCTCCGCGCTATGTCTAGTCAGCGTCTTGTCTTAGGCCTCGCCGAGTCCTTCGGCCGCTCCCGCCGTCCCCAGCTCCTCCGTGCGGTCCTTGCGTCCAGGGTCGGCTGCGCGCCACCCCTCACTCCTCCTCCTTCGTCCGGCCACTGAGCCCTTCCCGACACTCCACTTAGACGTCTGGGGCCCCACTCCCCGTCTTGGCCCTGAGCGGGAGAGTTTCTTTCTGGTGGTCATTGACGATTACTCTCGGTACACCACCATGTTCCCTTTGGCGAAAAGTCCGACGTGACTTCTACGCTGATCCGGTGGCTGCTCGCCACCAAGAGTACTCGCCATCGTCGTGTCAGTTGTCTCTACTCCAACCGTGGGGGTGAGTTTCGCTCCGGCAAACTCGCCAGATTCTGTGCTGAGCAGGGCATCAACCAGTCCTAGACTCTCCATGGCAGAATGGGATTGCTGAGCGCCGCCTAGGCCTGGTCATGGAGATTGCCCGCACCTCCATGATCCACGCCCACGCGCCCCATTTTCTGTGGCCCTACGCGGCTCGGTACGCCGCTCACTAGTCGAACCTCTGGCCTCGCGTCTCTCGGCCAGGGGCTTCACCGACCAGTCTTTGGACAGGGTCCCCTGGTGTTGCGTCGAGGTTTAGTGTCTGGGGCTGCTTGGCTCTTGTCCGTGACACCTCTGCGGACAAGATCTCAACTCGCGCCGTCCTTTGTGTCTTCCCTGGTTTCCCTGAGGGCTCCTATGACTTCACATTTTACCACCCTCCCTCCCACCGGTTCTTTGACTCTCGTGACGTCCGTTTCGACAAGTTCGTCCCCTACTACGTCACGTACCCCAATCGAGGTCTCCCGGTTCCCCCCCCTCCCCTCTTCCTGGCTCCATCTCCTCCTCCTCCCGCCCCTGCTCCTCCGGTACCCCCCCCCCCCCCCCCCGTCTGGTGTGTCCCACGCTACCCCCCCCCCCGGTACCCCCCCAGGTCTCTCCTCCTTCCCCACAGTCGTCCTCACCGCCTCCGCAGCAGCCGTCAGCACTTCCTTTACCGGCCATTGCGGACTCTGAGGGTGTTGGTGCTCGAGGTGAGGGCTCTGGCGATGCTCGCTCTGGGGGTGCTGGTGTTGGAGCTGTTCGTGACACTACAAGAGCCGCTCGTTCTGAGGGTGTTGGTGTTGGCGCTGAGTGTGCACCTGCTGCAGCTGCGCGTTCCGAGGGTGCTGGAGCTGGTGGGGGTGCTAGAGCTGGTGGTGTTTCTGGAGCTGGAGGGTCTGGGGCTGGTGCTGGTGCTACTGGAGGTACCACGACTGGGGGTGCTCAGCCGGGTACTGTCGAGGGCGGAGACGGCTCTTCTTCTTCGTCTCCTGACACCACTCCTCCTCCTCACTCCTACCCAACTCGACACCAGGCCCGTCTTCGTCTAGAGCGTGAGGAGTAGCAGCGTTTGGAGCGTGAGAGGTTGGAAGTTTAGCAACGGGTGGAGCGTGAGAGGTTGGAGTTGCAGCAGGAGCAGCAGTAGCCGTAGCAGCCTCCGGCCCCTGTTTCTGGCCTTCGGGCCCTTGGTCTCCCCTCCTCTCCTACTGTGTTCGGTCCTACGTTTCCTCCTCCGGACTCAGCTCCGGCTGTGTTCCTTCGTTATCAGTCTCCTCCGTCTCCCCCTCCTCTTGCCCACACTTGGGCCTCTCGTCCTCCTCGTGCTCGTCCCTTGTCACCTGTAACTGACCTCCGTACCTTGTTGTTTCGTCCTAGTCCTCCTCGTCCTCCTCCGTCTGTTCTTCCTCGTCCACCTGAGTCGTCCCTCACTGCCTCCCTGTCCACTCCGGTCACTGACTACTACCGCACGTACCGCCCCACTCTCTCTCATGTTCTCGCCTTGCTTGTTACAGACCCTCGTGCCTCTCCTTCCTCGGTC